AAGAAAATCTTCACATCTCAATAATATCATAAAGAAGATAATTAATAATTAATGTAAGGAGTAAATCATTCTTATAATTTAACAAAAAATCTTTCTAGAGCGTTATATTATTATATCGTCTAATATATTTATTTATTATAAAGATACCATTTCAGATTCGGCAACTTGTGAGTAATTTTCTTTTTGGATTGAGGAGGAATACGTTAAAATAATTGTTTGATTGAGAATAATTCTGAAGAGAGTCAAGTTTGGTGTTATCTTGCTCTTGTATTAAAGCAATAGTAACTTTTTACATTATTTTTTGCACACCATATCTCATTACTTGTACCATATTGCATTCTCATTAGCTCGTGTTTTCCTTATCATTAAGATAATCTAAAGTTATAATTGATATCGAAATAAATAATGTCTTGTGATTGTTATTGCTTATTTAGATATACATATAATATTATTTATATATACATATAATATTAAATAATATGATTTCGATCACCCAGAAAAAATTATATTATTTATCGTTCGCATAATTGATCGAACATTAAAAAAATGTACATATAGATAAACAATTTGTACAATTATGTATAATTATACATAAGTACACTATACGGTACAACAAATTTTAGTTTATAAAATAAAGTCTATAACATCGCATATCTCTCATGTTGCGATTTTAGTAATAGACAGTAATTCTACATTTTTAAAATAAATCAATATCTCGAACTCTCAAAAAACATACTGTAGTTCCTTTTATTTATCAATTTTATTTATCAATTTTAGATCCCTTTTTCATTGCACTATTTCATACTTTTTATTCTATATTTTTTATATTATGCAATACTTCAGAAAAGAAAAAAAGAATGATACGTATATATATATATATATCATAATAACAAATATAAGAATGTAAGTAAAACACAAAATACACTTATAATATACAATTATAATATACAATTATAATAATTACATATATAATGCAAAATACATTTATGTTTCTATTCACAATTATGTAACTTCATATATCATCAGGAGATATATACGAGTGATAAAATTTAACAAAATCTAGAAATTATATCTATTTCCACACATGATTGAAAAATGCCATATTTAATTAAGGCAGTGTTTAATAATATTTCTTGTGAATTTAAACAATTTCTAGCAAACAATTTCAAGCAAACTGTAGACCGATTAATTAATTGGTTAATTTTGAAACATAGTTCTAAACCGAAGCTGGAGCAGTAATATCACAAATTAAATTGATAAGCAATTTAATATTATTGCTGCAAATAATTTGATGCTATCAAGCATCTTAAAAATTGAATAATTTATTACGATAAATTATTACTTCAACTCGGATTTCTTATTCCGGATCTCCTTACTATTCGAACTTTTTTTTTTAGCACTATGATTCAAGACCTACAAATAATCAACGCATAATTTGCTCGAATTGAAAATTATATACATTTACATGAAAAATTATTAGGCACGAAGAGAACTGCTGAAATAACATTTTTCACTCGTATATGTTTAATCCCATTGGTCGATTTCAATTAATATTTCTATTACGTTCTCATACATAAAATATTTATCACAGAGAATAAATAAAAGATTTATTACTGCTGTCAAGTACATTCAAATTATTGCGAGTGAGAAGAAGTAAAATATATTTCAACATTCAGCTATCGTTAGCTGACTGATTCAATATTGATTGCATTCAGCAGATTCAATTGTTGCGGAGCAGATCCGTGAGCGCTCGCTGCTATTGGTGTATTCTTTTAGATCATCCAATAGCAACGAACGCTCATGAATTCGCTCCGCAACAGTTGAGTCAGCTGAACGCGATCAATAATGCCCGTTTTTTAACAATCAGTTTAATTTTTAACAATGCAGTTTAATTTTAATCTCGATTCAATTCTAACTCTTTATCTTTTTCTAGTTCTAAAAATTAGAAAAAGATAAAGACTAAGTCGAACCAAGATTAAAATTAATTTGCATTGAAACGCGTATAAATAGAATTACAAATCGCTCTCAAAGTCAGTTATACGTCAATCACATGTGTTTTCAAATACTATACACAGTTGCCCTCGAGACTGGCATCAATATCATTGAATCGAGTAAATTCGAACGTCCGTAACAAAAATTTAAAAAATTGATGTATATCTAGTCTTATAGAATACTCAATGATCGTCGCTGCAAATAGTTTATCCAAGCTTAATTAACGAATTCTGAAACACTTGTGATATTTCAATCGTTAATTGCTGTTGTAAATATATATGAATCGTGTATCATAATTTCGTTCAAATAGCAATAAAAATCGACAGTGCGACGACTCCGAATGCGATATCGATGATGATGACTTCTACATTTTAATCAGACAAATAAGGTAAAGAATTCGACAATTATTGATTTGCAAACATTTTTCGACGATAAAAAAATTTCGAGGAAGATATATGAAGAAAACAATGTTTATCTGTGATTGTTTTATTGGAATGGAGATAAATTTTGAATAAGAAAAGTTCTTTAAAGTTCTTTAAGAAGTCTTGATAAGAATCAAAATTTTCATGTTTTTCACGTAATCTTATATTTATGTTTATAGGTTATTATGCAAATGCTATTATTATATATATATACATAGTTTATTTATCTTTATTTAAATATTCTTGAGAGAAAACATGTTTACAGTTTCTTTGTTCTGATAATTACCTTAACAATTTACAGTTAATATAGAAATTATATATTTGTAATGGAAAGTAAAAATGCTATTGTATTTTGATTGTTTAGAAAATCAGAGATTGAAAGGTATTATATCTACCTTCTTCCTTTTTTCTCTAATAGTTGACTAGCTAAATGTGGAAAAGAAAGATAATAAAAGACTTTGTACGGAGAAACTCTAACACAATTCTATTTATTTAAATCAAAACATTTTTACTGTATATTAATATAAAAGTTGTTTTAATTGTTTTAATATGGAGAAAAAATATATATAAATATATTTTTAATTTTAATTAAGATTTCATCTTTAATTTTTTAAATAATTATTTTAATAAAATTTACAAAAGTACCATATTATAAAATGGAGCAAGAATT